GCATGATATCTTTATTAAATATTAAAATCAACTTTTGTCTATTTTTAAAAAGAAAAAAAAAATTCATTAAAATCTAAAAAATCCACACTTCTCCAGAGGCAATGTAGTAGATGTATGTATGTTGTTGTCGTTGTCATTATTGTTAACATTCTTGTGATCATGATAATGTTACTGAAAATGTAACCAGTAATTAATTCATATTTTTCACATTAAAGGTTGCTGTGCCTGAGTTAACACCAACAGGAGTGTCAATATTAACAGTGAATGCAACAGATAGAGACTCTGGATTAAATGCTAGGATTATCTACAGTATTGACGTCAATCCGGGCATTGGATTTACTATTGATCCTCATACAGGTTCGTCTGATGATCAAACAATTCATTTTTAAAGACCTATGGAAAATACTTCTTATTGTCTGTGCTGTGTGCACTTTGACTTTGTCTTTTTTGATATGTTCCACATTTAATTTGGCAAATGAAATTATTTCATGCTTATATATGAATTCAAGCAAAAAATTTAATTTGAGGCCAGTGTGATTGTATAATTTGTATCGTTGTGAAAAGGGTATGTTTCGCTATTTTAGTGCAGAAATAATTTTTTCTATTTTTAATTTGCAGGCATTCTTTTCACCAATGATACGATTAGGGTTCAATCAAATCCACATGTTGTACACCTTGGGATATCAGCTACGGACCATGGAGAACCAGCACTGTCAAGTCTTGTTTCTGTAAGAATTGAAGTCACCGACGTCAATGACAACTCGCCGATGTTCATTCCATCAGTCTATGAGGCGTCTGTCAGTGAAGCTGTTACTAAGGGACACAATGTTACAAGAGTACACGCCACAGATGCGGATTACTCCAGAGAAAATAACCAAGTAGACTACAGTATTATAAGCGGGAACATCGATAACATGTTTGAGATTTCGGCTTCTAGTGGCCAGATAGCTGTACTTGGAGACCTTGACCGGGAGACGTTGGCCTTGTATACACTAATAGTGCAGGCAGCTGATAGAGGTGAACCGCAACAAAGTAACGTGGCGACTGTCAACATAGAAGTTGAAGATTTTAATGACCATACCCCGGAGTTCAACGAAGAAGAGTACGAAGGAACAGTAAGCGAAGGGGTACCTGTTGGTACCACCATCTTGACTGTACATGCAACTGATCGCGATATTGGCCTCAATGCAATGATACGATATGACATCTCATCCGGAAATGAACTAGACTTGTTTAAAATCGATCAATCCACTGGAGTGATCACATCGAAGAGTCGACTTGATCATGACACACAACAATCTGTGCATAGGCTATCCATAATAGCCATGGACAGTGGTATTGATCATCAACTTCAGGCTGTGACTTCAGTGATAATTCATGTTACGGATGAAAATGACCATGCTCCATTCTCTCCTGCGCTTATGTATGTAAAAACATTGGCAGAGGAAGAACCTATTGGTACATATGTTTTCACGGCGCATGCAGTTGACAATGATGGGGGCCGCTATGGCGTTCTGACCTATACACTTGAAGATAGCCCTGGAAGGAACTATTTTGAAATCGATGCCGAAAGTGGAGAAGTTACTTCTCTCAAGAAGTTTGACTATGAAACTGACCAATGGGAATATTTACTGTCCATCAAAGCTTCGGATATTGGCGGCAAATATGTAACTGTTCAGGCTCGAATTGAAATTACTGGAGTTGATGAGTTTGCACCAGAGTTTTCATCATCAGATTACAGCTTTTTGGTTCCTGCAAATGCTGAACCTGGTTACACTGTGGGGCAAGTGTCTGCCATTGATAAAGATGCGGGGCTTGATGGACTTGTTCTGTATTACTTTGATAAGGAACTGGATATGTTCACAATCAATGAAACACATGGCTATATAACTGTGAAAGATAGTTTAGAAGTTAAGACTCAAAGAGATGTCTCGAGTGTGAGAGAAGCAAGAGCTACAAATGAAGCTGATATGTATCAATTCAATGTTGTTGCGAGATCTGGGAAACCTAATTCACTGAGTGCATCTACCAAATCAGATATTACTTTGGACTATGACTGTGACACATGTCCAGGAGCTCTGTCATCCTCCGAGACATCTTTATCTGGTCTGCCGTTAGCACTGGTCATCGTGTTTGCTATCATCGCTGCAATCTCAGTTATCGTTGGCTTAATAGGATTTCTAATCTGGTATCGTAGAAAGCGCCGTCCTTTGCCTCCACCACTTCAAACAACTGATGGTACTCGATCAGTTAATTCGTATGATGCAAGTTTTGATCCTGTGATGCTGACAGCAGGATCCACCATCGAGCAGCATCTTATATCTGGCCCAAATGGCGTTGTGCCCGTGTATACCATGAACGGCACCAGGAAACCACAACGCATGGATTCTCCTCACACCTCTATGGAAGTCGGCAGAACTGATGTGTCGGATCAGTCCAATTCAGCTTCAAGTGGGCGTGGCTCAGCCACAGTTGAAGATGAAGAAATACGTATGATAAACGAGAAGCCTATTGTGCCAGATCACCATGGCAACAACCAACTCATTTGTCATTTACCGCCAGATTCCGGAATTCCTCAAGACGAAGATGCCATGTCTGATGACATGTCTGTAAATGAAAGATCGGCAAACGAGGTGCTTAAAAGTCTTGGCGTCTTTAATGAGTCTTACTCAAAGGGTGAAAATTTTAATAAAATTCTCAACCAGAGTGTGGAGAGTATGCACGTATTTGGAGAAGAAGGAGGAGGAGAGGAACGGGGAGCATTTATAAATTCAAAATTACATGACTCAGGGGAGGATACTGCGATAATTAATGGGACAAGGGCATTTGGAATGGGTGATGATGGGTTGCCATCTATGGCAGGCTCGCTAAGTTCAATTGTGAACAGTGATGAGGAATTTTCAGGCAGCTACAGTTGGGACTATTTACTAGACTGGGGGCCGCAGTTCCAGCCTTTAGCCAATGTATTTGCTGAGATAGCAAAGCTCAAGGATGAGAGCATTGCTAAAAAACAGTTAGAGGAACACAAACCTCGACATAAGCAATCTCTATCACCAAAAGTAAAAAATTTCCCACCTCCGTTACTGACGACGGTTGTGCAAGGCCCGTTAACCCCTGTCCAACCTGTAGCAATAAACCGTTCAAGAATAAATCAAGGTGCAACATTACCGATGATGCCAAGGTCACCAATCACGTACGACCATAGTTTTTCGTCACCGGCAATGTCTCCTAATTTTTCACCGTCGTTGTCACCTCTTGCGAATAGAACTCCTTCAATATCACCGTTGGTGACCCCATTAAGCAGTACAGTGAACTCGAACACAAGTACGCCACAACGATCACCAAGACATTCTACTATAATCACGTTACCTGCCTTAGCTGGAGTTGATGAAGTTACGATCTAATCACTTGGACTAAACAATTTTATAAAAGGGGGAAGTAAAGGGTGGAGATTCTAATTTTTATATAAAAAATATATATTGAGATAGATATGATGATGATTCCCGAAATATTTTATTTTTATATCTGACATTCAGGAAATCATGCGAGTCCTCAACTGAAAAGAAGGGTAATACACGACCAACTCAAAGCGTAAACGTATCAACACATGTCCTTCCATTTAAAATTTTATTCCAGAAAGTGCCTTGATTTTATTTGTACAGGCAATTTTTTTGTTTTTGTAAATATTGAACTTTGTAAATAGATTTTTTTTTTTACAAAGAATTTATTTGGTAACAAATGTGAATGCATTTTGTTATGCTTTATTGTCTGGGTCATGATGCATTTTAGTTTTTTTAAAATGTTTACGGAATTTAGTTACATGCTTATTGTTTATCCCCCTCGCCTGTAATAATTTGACATGGTTTCACCCAACCAACTAACAAACTAGGAATAGTAGTTGTTTTTAGGGATATGAACGTTACTGAATACATAGTTACACTAAGAGATTACGTGTATGAAATAAGCAATAAGGAAATGAATTTGTAATCTTTTGTTTACAATATGGTTATTCAGAACATCATTATTCAACTTGTTCTCAAAACTGTTAAATCATGGTACAGATATGAATTTTTACAAATAATCCTGAGTTAGGAATTTGAAATAAATTTTGTGATAAAAAAAAAATTATCACTTTTTTTTCTGACACACTGTACTTAATAGTTCTAATTGCCAAAATGTGTATTATGAGGATTTCAATATCTATGAATATTCATTTATGCAAATATGTTTATTTGAATAATCATCAATGATATAACATTGTGCCTTTCAGTTCGTTCATGTTTGTTGTTCTATGACCCTAATATTATTGGTATTGGTTCCCGCTTTGTCTTGGTTAAATTATTCACAATATATGACACATTAAAGAAGCTGCCATTATTTCAATGCTTCTGTTTTTATAGTTTGATTAAAACAGATAAAATAAAATACAGTATTATTCATAACAAAGCTGAATGTCTTATGTTGTGTGTGAGTGCTGTTAGTATGTAATTACGACTATATGACAACTAATAGGATGATTGAGCATCACGTGGAACGTTTACATTTTGGGTAAACACACAGTATTGTACACTTGTTTACTTGCATTGTTGGATGGGACTTGTATTAAACACACACAAAAAAAAATGAACATTTTGGCCTACAATATGAAAGGTTGGGAACTAAAAAGAATTAGTTGATTGGAGCTGATACTGATTTGTTAAGAGGAATGTTTGAGGAATATGTAAACAAAAACATACAATTGGTGAGAAGATGGGTGGGCACATTGTAGATTTGCCGAATTTGTTTTAAAGGGGAAGTAAAGCCAAACAAAATAATGCTTCCTAAAGAAACACCTCCACAAATGTAGAAGAATGCCAATTTACAGTTTTTTATCACTTTTCATTCTCCGTATTATGTAGTCCGCCATCTTGCTTCTCCAGCAAAGGATTGTGGGTAAAGTGTGACATCAAGATGGTGGACTACACAAATTAATGAAAAGTGATATGAAAAAGCTGTAATTTGCATGTTTTTACATTTGCAGAGCTCTTTCATCTGTGAGTATTATGTTAGACTTGATATTTCCTTTAATTGAAGACTGCCCTCTGTTTAAAAACAAAAGTATTTTGTATTGAAGCTGAGGGGGAGCTATCAAATGTCTGTGGCATGATTATCTTGATGCAGAAAACTCCACAATTTAACCAATTCCCATTTACAGCCTGCCTAAAAGTGACTTCAATGTTTTTACCTTCAGAAACAATTCATTTGTTCACTCAAAATTACATTTGGCTGTTTGAGGGCGCAATTTGTCAATCTCTGTGCCAGAAGGATGTC